TTTTCTATTTCTTCCTGATTCAATCTTGAAATGTATGTTTCTATGCATTTTCTGTTTCTCCCAGGTTGTCCAATTTGTTGCTGTGTGATTGTTCATAATGTATTTTTTTTTCATTATTCTTTGTATTTCTTTAGTATCTGTTGTAGCTTCTCTTTCATTTCTGATTTTATTTGTGCTTTCTCTTCATCTTTGTGAATCTGACTGAAGATTTGTCTATTTTGTTACTCTGCAAAAACTATCTCTTGGTTTCATTGATATTTTGCATTGCCTTTTTTACCTCTGTTTTGTTAATATGTGCTCTTATTTTTATTTTTTCCTTCCATCTACTGATTTAGGCCTTTCGTTTTCCAGTTCTGTGATATGAGCATAGATTTACTTTTTGTTATTCTTTTTCCTTCATGATGTAAGACTTGCTTGCTGTAAACTTCCCTTTAATCACTGCTTTTGCTGTATCCCATAGGTTTTAATAATTTATGTCTTCATTTTCATTTATCTTCAGGTATTTTTTTTATTTCACCTTTGACTTCCTCATTGACCTTGTAGTTTTTCAATAACATACTGTTTATCCTCCACAAATTTGTTGCCTCCCCATTTTTCTTGGTTAATATCCAGTTTCATGTCATTATGATTCAAAAAGGGGATATGATTTCAGTCTTCATGAATTTATTCAACTTGTTTTGTGTCCCAACTTATGTTCTATCCTTGAATATTTCTGTGAGCACATGAAAAGAATGTTTTCTGGTTGTTGGAGTGTAATGATCTATAAATATATATTACATCCATCTTATCCAATTTGTCATTTTATGCTATTGTTTCCTTGGTGATTTTCTATCACAACTATCTGTTCAATACTGTAGGTGGGCTCTTAAATTCTTCTACTATTATTGTGTTGTTGTCAGTGTCTCCCTGTGTGTCTGTTAATATTTGTTTTGTATATTTTGCTGTTACTATATTCAGTGTATATATGTTGGTAATTATTATATCATCCTATTGTATTGATCCCTTTATCATTATATAATATCCATCTTTGTACCTTACTAACTTTTTTTGACTAGAGACCTATTTTTACCTGATATAACCATAGTGGTTGTCAGATATATAATTTACAAGTATCTTCTCCCATTCAGTAAGATATCATTTCATTTTTTAAAAAAATTTATTTTTATTTATTTATGCATACAAGAACTGGGGTTTAGGCCAGAGGTTCAGGGGGTGAAAGGATTCACCAGACACAGAGTGGGGAGCAGAACAGGCAGATCTACTGAATTACACTGCTGAGGGGAGACAGGAGAGGTCTGGTGTGCCATGTGGGTGAGCTCCCTGCTGATAGCTTGATAGTGCTGAGACTTAACCCCTTGCACCACCAAGGAGGCTCATGTATGATTAAATTAATCTCAAGGCATAAAGACTATGAGATATTGGAAAATTTTCTAGGTAGTATTATTCAGGAGTAGCTGATTATTTGGATCTGATATGGAAATGATATTTTAACAGTGAGTCTGCAAATAAGGCACCTCCATCATAGGAAGGAACTAGAAGCTTTTGAAACTGAGATTACTTCTCAGAGTCTTAGAGAGGCACCAGACATCCAGTGACACTTTGGTTTGCTTTCTATAAATTATCTTTCAGTAACTTGTTTTAATTCCACCAGGAGATAGCAGTGGGATAGCTTGGAGAAGGACAAGTCTATTATAGTATATATGAAAAGAATCAAGTCTTGTTTAGAATGAGACTGGCTCTTTCCTGAAGCGGGTTATTGATCTCCACTTAAGAGTTGAGGTATTTAGATTAAAGCTTAAAGGTAAATCCTTCCCTCTCCCATTTTGAAATGTCAACATAAATTACACTATTGAGTTATGATAATGCAAATCAGAAGTATATACCTTCAGCTCCTTTTTCTAGGCAAGTAGCTATAGGCAGCCTCTTAAAAATTCCTTGCCAGGTTTCATGCCATGTGATCCTCTCCTACTTTAAAACTGGGCCAGAAATTGATTCTTGACCCAAGGACATCCATCTATATATACTGGACTATTTTGTAAGAGAATGCCTTGCATGAACACTCATCCCAAAAGACTGTTCTATACTGGTTTAATCAATTTGAGTTTTTTTACTGAGGTGTAAGAACTCAAAGAATACAAAGAGGAGAATCAATTTGCAAGTGGCAGAAAAGAAAATAAACACTAAGAGTAGGTGTATGTGGATAGAACACATAGAAAGATGACAGTGGCCATCGAGATGCTAAAATAATACCCTCAATGGATGACTAGGACTATGGTAACTACAAAAACTGGAGGCTCAAAGTCATGATTGTGTCTTGTAGGGTGTTTCTGTTCTTCATGAAGCCTTGCCTTGTAGCTGCTGAAGCTTATTTTCTATTCCCCCCTACTTCTACAAGAATTATACCAACCACCACTTTTGTTTCTTGTAAGTCATCTAACATATTTATTAAAAAAGTTGTTGCCAGTTAAATAGCGTTCCTTACTCCTGCCTCAGCCCATGAAGTATCTAATTCCTTCCGAGAGAGATTAGGAAGCAGAAGAGTGAGTGGGGAAGCATTTTCCCCTACAAACATCTAGGTTCAAAACCAGCAGTGGGAGAAGGAAAAACTTTGAAGCAAATATAACATTGATATTTAAACTAAGCCAGAAAATGATGGAATCATCCCAGGTTGTAGTTAAGGGACATGAATGGGAGATTTGGCATTGCATGTCTGAGAGCAATTGTGAAGAAATTGAGAAACAGTTTTGTTTTCACCTTTCCTGAGTTTAGAGTATTCAATAAACTAGGTGGTTATACATGCCTGTTTCTCATACTGCTTTTGCTTTTTAAAAACAAAATGATATAGGGCCTCACTGGTGGCACAAGGGGTTAAGCACCGCGCTATGAAGAAGTCCGCAGCCACTGCAGCACAAGTTCTATTTCCAAGCTGGCCAGGGAGCAACCCATATGGCAAAGCAGACCTCTCCTGTCTCGCCCGCTGCTCCCCTCAGCAATGCCTTTCTGTCAGTCTGCCTGTTCTGTTCCCCACTCTGTCTCTGGTGAGACCTCTCAGCCCCCTCCCCAACATCTCCGACCTGTACCCCAGCTCTTGTATGCATAAATAAATACATCTTTTTAAAAAATGATATAATATCATCTTGTTAAAAATATATGTGGTCCTCAATTTGAAAAATGATAGTTGTAATAAGGACAAATAAGTTCGCAGCAATATGCACTCTCTAAGCATTCAACAACAACAACAAAAAAGGTGGTTAACAGCCCCCCCACCCCAACACACACACACACAAGATATAACAACATTTAAGTTCTTGTACAAAAAGTGGAATGAAGATGTTACTGCTTTTCCATAGTTGTGTAGAAACGACTTCAGAGTTGACACACCATAGAATCTGGTAAGCAAAGAAGATCACTACAATTCAAAAGCTGGGATAGCAACTGATGAATTCTCCACTTGTATCCTGTACCCTGAGCATCAGCAATTTTAAAAGTACCAGTTTCCTCAAAATGTTTCCTTTACAGCATTTTTATATTTGGTGGTGGGCTGCCATTACTGCCGTAGTATGTGATATTTGTTAAAACTTCCTGACTGCAGTCTTATGATGTCCGTTCTTGAAAAACAGCTTCCATGCCACGCTAACCTTTTGCCTGTGCTAGGCACTGAGAAAGATACAAGTACAATTGACTTCATGTTGGAACTCTAGAAACTGAACGTATACCTTCCCTTCTCTTCTAGTCTACTAGGCTTGTGTTTGTATTTTTTAAGAGGTTGGTTAGGCTTTTTACATGGTGTTGTATTTGGATATGTCAATCCATTTGAAATTGTAAATGAGGAGCTAGGTCTTCTGTAAAGGAGCTGAATTTATTCCATGTCAATCGGGCTAGTTCTCAGGAAATCAAAGCTTAGAAAGCAGATCTCCCACATACCTTTGAAAAAAAAAGTCCTCTCTTTTTGGAACTGCTCATTTGAATCTTGTCTTCAAGGATTCAACTGTGCAGATAGAAATGTATGTAAAATTGTTATTTCATTATAATGTCTCCTTCTTGACTTTGGTCCTCTTACTTACTTTGATTGCTCATGTTATTTCCCACCTTCAGTGGGCAGTGAGGCATTGTTCTACTGATTCCAGCAGTTGTCAAGGACCTTCAGCATCTCATTGACAGTTTGTGAACTCCACAAGCATCTGTACCTAACATGACATCAATATTGACAGTGTATACTATAAAATAGAAGTTGGAAAACTTTTTATGGAAACAGTCAGATAGTATGTTAGGTTTTGTGGTTCAAAAGGTAAGTATTGCAACTAATCAACTCTGCTCCTATTAACACTAAAGCAACCATAGACAGTGCATAATGAATGAGCATAGCTATCTTCTAATAAAACTTTAGACAGAAATTTCAATTCTGTGGAATTTTCATGTAACAAAATATTATTCTTTATTTTTAAAAAGCCATTTAAAATGTGAAAACCATTCTCAGTATAGGGCTATACAAAACCAGGTAGTAGGCTCCAATTTTACCTCCAGGGATTTAATATGTCAACCTGTGCTCCACAGACAAACTTCCTGAGTTTCTTTTTGGTTTCTGTCACCTTCCAGCTATGTGACCTTAAACTGTTACTTTACTTAAATTGGCTTCAGTTTCTTTACCTGGAAAATAGGTTGACGTGGGGATTCAGAGTAAATATCTTAGGATAGGGTCTGGGATATACAGTAAGCTGTCAATAGGTGGTAGATACTAAGATTCCTAATTCACAAAACATCTTTGTCATTTAAGAAAATAACTTTGGTTTACTTGGTGGATGATTTTGAATGGATGGTTTTGAACTTTTTCCAAATTTGTCTTTGCTTAGTTTTCCTTTCACAAGTGTTCCATGCCCTTAGTAAATGATTGATTCTGATAAGACACACAAAGTATTCCGAAGGTCTCTTTGAAATATTAATTATTTAAAATAGTGAATGTGAGATACTTTACCAGAGGCATCAACAATGGTTTTCTTGTGTTAACATTCAGGTTTATTGGGTATTTGTTTATTTATAGAATGCTAATTTTCTTCTTCCAGGCTTCTAGGATATAGGCAACTAGAAAAAAACGAATATGCATAAACATTATTTCTTAACTAACATTTGCTATTAAGCTATCTTACCTTAGGCCAACTGCCAAAAGGTGCCTGTGGTTAAAAAAAAATTTCCTTCACTGAAACTCTACCATTAGAAATCAATTCATTTGTGTAAAGTTCCTCATTTAACGTTCACTTTAAGTGAAAATACATTAGAAAAACTTATCTCACTAATTCAGGTCTCCTCACAAATTTTTAGGTAGCACCTAGCATGTAGATATGGGGGAATAATCACATAATTCTTCACTATTTATCACATTGAAGTGAAATATCTGGTTATCTATGGCCTTCTTATAGTATTATTCCATGACAAATTGTACCTAAAACATTAACCTTAAATTTAAACTGTTAAGGAAGAGTGTAATTTCACTATGAAGTTTATCTGGGATCTGATGATTTACCTCACTGTAGGAAACTGTTAATTACCTGTTCTGGCAAGGAAATGAGATAATAGAATGAAAGAACTCTGTAATCAACATTTCCCCCTATAGTTTTAACTCTAATTGCTCTGAGATTAATTTTGCTTTTTGGTATATACCACTGTGCATGACCTCAACCTGGGAACATAATGTTTTTCTGTTTTGTTTTACAAATTTTTCAACTACTGCTTAATTACTACACTGCCCCTAGCTCATCCCATGGTTTCTGGTGATTTCTTCTAAGCTCCGATGTCCTCTTTCCCTTTGAAAAATTTTCTTCTTTTAACCGTCTGCCTTCATTATTTTCCATAGGACTTTATATTTATGGCCTCATTTTCTCTCTTTGGAATAATATTTTGATTTTTCTTAGATAATTTCCATGGCCATATATAATTTCATAGACTATTATATTTGTTACCATCTGTTAGTTTTCCATGTTACCTTTATCTCTATTCTTCACTCATTCACAATTAAACTGCAAAGTAACAAATCTCTTAACGGAGACTTTCCAGATGCTTGTGGACTGCAATACAAATTGTTCATATTTTTTGTCATTGTACAACCTGTTGATACAGTGCCAAGTAGTTAGATTTCTTTTGTTTCTGACTTATTTATGGCATTACTAGTACTCTTACCAATAGATGTTAAAATCTCATAGCATAATATGTTATTTTTACCATATTACCTCATATTGCTCCATATTGTATTATAACAGCTATTTGTCAACCCTTGGTCTTTGTTTTTTAGATTCTAGAGAAGGGATTTTATATCCCTCTTCTTTGATAAGTAAGCAGTCTTCTAATTTTGTTTCATCTACAAATTCATATATCTTCTAGCATGGTCTTAATCTGGATCATAAAAGATAGTGTGGAAAAAATTGAATCTAACACTGATTTTTCTTGTGTTCCATTTATCACTGCCTTCTTATGCTGTCAACTTCCATTTAGTACTGCTCATTATTTCCTCACAAAACCAACTTTATTTTTCTATTTATTCTTTCACCAATAATTCCAAAATTAACCATCCAAATTTGCCCAGTGCTATGTGCACAATAAATATTTGTTACTAAGACATAATTTGTATTTTTCATATAATTAATTTCTCTCACTTTCTGACCCACTTTTCATATTGCTGTGGCATGGTTTTCTTCTTGATATTTTTCATTTGCAAAGTTCCTGGTTGGATTTCTTTTAATTCAGTGAAATTTAATTATATTTCCCCACCACAAACCCCTTTGACCCTTTTTCTCTCCCCTTCATTCTTTTTTTTTTTAATAATAAATTTTATTTTTATATTCCCCCATACAATTGCAAACGCCCCATTCTGACCCCAATCCTTCCCCTCCCGCCCCCACCCCCCAAAAAGTGTCTCTGGTTCATAGTTTTTTGTTGATTTTCATTTTCATTTTCTTATAGTTACTCATTTTCCTGGTCCCTTATTTAAGTTTTCTAGATTCCTGCTATGAGTGAGACCATCCGGTATTTTTCTTTTTCTTTTTGGCTTATTTCGCTGAGCATGATCCCTTCCAGCGCCATCCATGTTGCTGCAAATTGCATGTGTTATATTTTTTGAATGCTGAGTAATATTCCATGGTATATATGTACCACATCTTCTTGATCCAGTCATCTATTTTTGGGCATTTGGGCTGTTTCCAAAGCTTAGCTATTGTAACAGTGCTGCTATAAACATAGGAGTGCAGGTGCTCTTTGGAATTGATGTTTCTGTGTCCTTTGGGTAAATACCTAGGAGTGGAATTGCTGGATCCTGTGGAAGCTCTATGTTTAGTAGGTCCAGAAATCTCCACACAGCTCTCCATAGTGGTTGGACCAGTTTGCACTCCCACCAACAGTGCAGAAGAGTTCCTTTTTCTCCACATCCTCGCCAACATTTGATGTTGCTAGTTTTTTTAATATGTGCCATTCTCACTGGTGTGAGATGGTATCTCATGGTAGTTTTGATTTGCATTTCCCTGATTACAAGTGATGTTGAACATTTTTTCATATGTCTGTTGGCCATTTGCATTTCCTCTCAGAGAAGTTTCTTTTTAGCTCTTCTGCCCATTTTTTGACTGGATTATTTTCTTTGTTGTTGTTGAGTCTCATCAGCTCTTTGCAGATTTTTGTGATCAGTCCTTTATCATTAGTGTTGGGTGCAAAAATGTTCTCCCAATGGTGGGGTTTCTCTTTGTTTTTGTTATTGTCTCTTTTACTGTGCAGAAGCTCTTTAATTTGATGTAGTCCCAGCTGTTTATCTTTGTCTTCACTATCACTGCTTTGGGTGATGTGTCTGTAAAGATGTCTTTGATGTGCAAATCCCATAGTGTTCACCTATATTTCCTTCTATGGATTTATGTTTCAGGTCTTATGTCTAGTTCTTTAATCCATTTTGAGTTGATTTTTGTGTATGGTGTGAGGTAGTGGTCAAGCTTCATTCTTTTGCATGTAGCGACCCAGTTTTCCCAGCACCATTTATTGAACAAACTTTCTTTGCTCCAATGCATAGTCTTTGCTCCTTTGTCAAAGATTAGTTGACCATAAATCTGTGGGTTTATTTCTGGATTTTCTATTCCATTCCATTGGTCTGTATGTCTGTTCTTGTTCCAATACCATGCAGTTTTGATGATTATGGCTTTGTAGTATAGATTGAAGTCTGGGAGTGTGATGCCTCCATTTCCTTCTTTTTTTTTTCAGTAGAGCTTTGGCTATTCGGGGTTTTTGGTGATTCCATATGAATTTCATCAATAATTGTTCTATTTCTTTGAAGAATGCCATTGAGATTTTGATTGGAATAGCATTGAATCTGTATATTGCTTTTGGTAGGATGGCCATTTTAATAATGTTTATTCTTCCAATCCATGAGCAGAGGATGTCTTTCCATTTCTTTGTGTCTTCTTCTATTTCTTTTAACAGTGTTTTATAGTTTTCTTTGTATAGGTCCTTTACGTCTTTTGTTAGATTTATTCCCAAATATTTGATTTTTTTGTTTCGATAATAAAAGGGATGTTTTTTTTGATTTCTTCTTCTTCAGATTTATTGTTTGTGTATAGGAAGGCTACTGACTTTTGCGTGTTGATTTTGTATCCTGCCACTTTACTGAATTGATTGATGAGTTGAATTAGTTTTTCTGTGGAGATTTTGGGGTTCTCTATGTATATTATCATATCATCTGCAAATAGTGATAGTTTGACTTCTTCTTTTCCTATTTGGATTCCTTGGATGTCTTTCTCTTGTTTTATTGCTCTGGCTAGGACTTCCAGTATTATATTGAAAAGCAGTGGTGAGAGTGGACATCTTGTCTTGTTCCAGATCTTAATGGAATTGCTTTCAGCTTTTCACCATTGAGAATGATACTGGCTGTTGGCTTGTCATAGATGGCCTTTATGATGTTGAGGTATGTTCCTTGTATCCCAAGAATTTCAAGGGCTTTTATCATGAATGGGTGTTGCACTTTGTTGAAAGCTTTCTCAGCATCTATTGATATTATCATATGGTTTTTATATTTCTTTTTGTTGATGTGTTGGATAACGTTGATTGATTTTCGGATGTTAAACCATCCTTGTGCCCCTGGAATGAATCCAACTTGGTCGTGGTGAATTATCTTATGGATACATTGTTGGATTCTGATAGCTAAAATTTTATTGAGGATTTTTGCATCAGTGTTCATTAGGGAGATTGGCCTATAGTTTTCCTTTTTTGTGTTGTCCTTATTCGGTTTTGGTATTAGTGTAATATTGGCTTCATAGAACGTGTTTGGTATTGTCCCTTCCTTCTCAATTTTTTGGAAGAGTTTGTGAAGGATAGGCACTAATTCGTCTCTGAATGTTTGGTAGAATTCATTTGTAAATCCATCAGGTCCTGGGCTTTTGTTTTTGGGGAGGTTTTTGATTACCATTTCAATTTCGCTGCTTGTAATTGGTCTGTTTAGGTGTTCTATTTCTTCTTTATCTAGCTTTGGGTGATTGTAGAGTTGTAGGAATTTGTCCATCTCCTCTAGATTGTTGAACTTGTTTCCATATAACTGTTCATAGTAGTTACTGATTATTCTTTTGATTTCTGCTGTGTCCGTTGTGATTTCTCCTCTTTCATTTATGATCCTGTGTATTTGTGCTTTCTCCCTTTTTTCCTTTGTGAGCCTGGCTAGGGTTTTGTCTATTTTATTTATTTTTTCAAAGAACCAGCTCTTGGTTTCATTGATCTTTTGGATTGTTTTTTAGTTTCAATTTCATTTATTTCTGCTTTGGTTTTTATTATTTCTTTTCTTCTACTGGTTTTGGGTTTTTTTTGTTGTTCTTTTTCTAGATCTTTGAGCTTCGAGATTAGGTTGTTTCTTTGAGTTCTTTCTTGTTTTTTGATGTGAGCTTCTATTGCTATATATTTTCCTCTTATTACTGCTTTTGCTGCATCCCATACATTTAGGATATTGGTGTCCTCCTTGTCGTTCAATTCAAAAAATTTTTTTAATTTCTTCTTTGATCTCCTCGTTAGTCCAGTGGTCTTCCAGTAGTGTGGCTTTTAATCTCCATGAGGTAGGATAGTTCCTTGCCTTCTTTTTATGATTATTTCTAGTTTGATGCCTTCGTGGTCAGAAAGATGGTTGGTATGATTTCAATCTTGGTGTATCTGTTGATGTTTGTCTTGTGCCCCAGTATGTGATCGATCCTGGAGAATGATCCGTGTGCGCTTGAGAAAAATGTGTACTCCGTTTTTTGTGGGTTTAGTGTTCTATAGATGTCTGTTAAGCCCAAATGCTCTAGGTCCTTATTTAGAGCTTTAGTTTCTTTACTTATTTTTTGTCTTGTTGATCTATCCATTGTTGATAGTGGTGTGTTGAAGTCTCCCACTACATATGTGTTTTCTCTGATGTCTGTTTTCAGAGAGGACAACAGTTGTCTGATATATTTTGGTGCTCTTTCGTTTGGTGAGTATATGTTAATGAGTGTTATTTCTTCTTGAAGTGTTGACCCCTTAATCATAATGTAGTGACCATTGGGGTCTCTTTTTATTTTTTTGAGTTTGAAGTCTGTTTTATCTGATATAAGTATAGCTGTTCCTGCTTTCTTTTTTGGCCCATTTGCTTGTAGGATTGTTTTCCATCCTTTGACTTTGAGCCTATTTTTATCTTTTGTAGCTAAATGTGTTTCCTGGAGACAGCAAAAGGTTGTCTCCCCTTCATTCTTAACCTCAGAAAACTCACTTCATTTATTAATGTCCATTAGTTTTTATAATTATTTTACTTTGTGGAATCATCCTTTATGTAAGTGTCCAAAATTTGTCTTTGTCATTCTGACTTGCTTTGCTACACATAATTCCCTCAAACTCCTTGCATTTTACTCTAGATGGAAATATTTCATCTTTTCTTATGGCTGATTTGTATCCCACAGTGTGGATATGCTACATCTTCTTGATCTAGTCATCAATTGATGACCATTTAGTTTGATTCTATGTCCTATATATTATAAATCAGGCTATAATAAACATTGTAGAGTAAGAGTATGTTGTTTTTTGAGTTGATGGTTTCATGTTCTTTGGCTAAATGCCCAGGAGTGGAATTGCTAGATCATACAGGATTACTATTTTCAGGTTTTTAAGATAAATCTAGATCACTACCCAAAATGGCTGCATTAGCTTAAATCGCCAACAACAGTATAATAAGATTCTTCCTTATCACAGGTATGAGATATGTGACTTTTGGTTTTAACCTACATCTCCCTTTGAAGAAGCCATTATGTATTTGCCTTCTGGATAAGCTCTTTGGTGAATTGTTCAGATCTTCTGCCCAATTGTTTATTGAGTTGTTTAGTTTTTGCTGTTGAATTTTATTACTATTTCAATTTCCATGCTTGTGATCACTTTATTCAACTCTTCTATTTCTTCCTGGTTTAGTTTTGGTAAACTAAATTGATCTAGAAATATGTCTGTTTCTTCAAGGTTTTTGAACTTATTGACATATAATTGCTCATAATAATTTCCTGTGATCCTTTGTATTTCTATGCCATCTGTTGTAATCCCTCCTCTTTCTAATTCTGTTTATTAATATTTTCTCTTTTCTTTGTTAACCTAACAAGTGGCTTATCTATTTTATCTTCTCAAAGTATCAATTCTTAGTTTTGTTAATCTTTTGTATAGTCTTTTCAGTATTTAGTTCATTTCTGTTCTAATCTTTATTATTCCTTTCCTTCTGTTAATGTTGGGTCTTGTTTGTTCCTATTTTTCAAATTGCTTTAGGTGTAGAATCAAATTGTTTGAGATTTTTCTTGCTTCTTAATGTGATCTTATATTGTAATTATCTTCCCTATTGTGAGACTATTCTTAAATGTCACCTTTATCATATCATTGTCTTGTTGAAGATCAACCAATGACGTCTTAGAGTTCATTGAAGTATATATAGTCAAACTTTGGTACCTAGGGCCCTTTAGAAATTTTCTCTGATCTTATGTATCCAACTGTAATTCTGTTTCTTCCAACTCTGTTGCTCTCCTCATGATTTTATCATGCGCACCATGCATATTTGATTTCAGGTAGCTACACTGATTCAAAATGACCTTGATTCTTTTTACCTTCTTGAAATTATATGGTATGAACAGGCAGAGTGAATGATAATAGAAATCAAAGAAGAGGTTGCCTCTAATTGATAGGAGCAAGAAGTAACTTTCTGGGGTGGTGGAAATATTCATTATCTTAATTGTGGTGGTGGTTATATGGGTATATGAACTTATCAAGTCTCATCAAACTGTACACTTACGATCTGTGAATTGTAATATTTATAAGTCTTTACATGCATACGCATGCGCACACACACACACACAGAGTGAGCAAGTGAGCACATGTGCATGCACTAGGACTTAATAATTTTTTTAGTGTCTTTAAACCAGTCATTGTTCACCCTTTTTATTATAATGTTTTCAGAGGCTTATCATAAGCCCTATTTCTTCCATGAAATTTCACCCAACTCTTCAAGCTGCTAGAGAACAGTTTTATTTTTAAAAATTATTTAAACTACATAAGTATTTTCTCATGTTGTAGGTTCCCTGTCTCAGTACAATTTTTTTTATTCCTTTGGGTCATTTTATGCTGACTGATTAATGGCAACTTCTTTTACTTTGGTCAGCTCAGCTTTTTCAGAAAGCCTTAATTATAAAACTGAGTATTCAAGAAAGCTGAAAGAATAAAGTCGTTATTTCTTATCTTTTTTTGTTTTTATAATTTTGGGGTTACATTTTTGCCAACCAACTGCCCTTGTATATTGGCTTTATTTTAGTAATTCTTGAGAATGAACTGGAGTCGGTCTTAGATAAAAGGAAGTTCCGAGGCATTAGGTGTTTAGGTCCTAGAAGAATAAGGGATATTCTAATTACTAATGTTTGGTAAAAGGAAAGAGAGCTCAGGGGCCTCACTGGTGGCTCAAAGGGTTAAGTCTCAGCATTACGAAGCTGTCTGCAGCCACTGCAGCACGAGTTCGATCCCCAGCCAGGGAAATACCCACATGGCGCAGCAGGCCTCTCCTGACTCGCCCGCTGCTCCCCTCAGCAGTGTATTTCAGTACTTCTGCCTGTTCTGTTCCCCACTCTGTCTCTGGTGAATCCTCTCACACCCAACACCTCTGTATTGTACTATAGTTCTTGTATGCATAAATAAATAAATCTTAAAAAAAAATAAAGGAAATTGAGCTCAGGGTATTTTCAAAAAATAGTGAAAGGTCAGATTTTTTACCGTATTTGCACATCAACAAGTTGCTCTGCTGTAAATTTCATGGATACTCGTAGAATACACAAGATTCCTGTTTGAGAGACAAATTTTATTATTCATGGACAGCAAATAGTTTGAGCTTTATGTTGGTATTGCTTTCCCTTGTCCTCTCCCGCCTCCCTGTTGTGGTGCCATGGTGATCGCCAAGTGGATGGTATGCACATACTGGGTTTTGTGTCCCTGTAGAGGAATCCAAGTGTAGGGAACCCAAATCTTTTGTAATGGCCTAAAAGCAATCCTGCCTGGGAGGTGGAGATATAATTTGTCTCTAGATGAAACAAGCCTGCACTCTCTGGAATGGAGCACTATGTTTTTCAAGGATTTTCACTATAAAACTTTCCTTGAAAAGGTAATCCAGAACAAAGGCCATCAATGCCTGTGTTCACAAAATGAGCAGAAATGTGAGAAACCAGTAGAGAATTGTCTGTAAAAAAAAGTTTTACTCTTCCCCATGAAGAAATAGTCCTGCACAGAGGTGCAGAAGAAGTAATTTACCTAGTGCTCATTTTAATCTGTGGCATCTCCAAACACTTCTGGGGAAATTAAGTCAACACATCATAGGTAAGTGTTATGCTAAAGATTGAGATCAGCAGTTATTCAGCATCCACTGAAGGATGAACATTGTGAAAAACATAAAACAGAATATATAACCCAAAGATAGGTAGCTCACTCAGATTCCACAGAACTGCGTGCAGCCCATATAACTCCTTAAGACTGGATGATCAATGATTAAAATGTTGCCTCAGATTGTTATTTCTCAGTCATGTGCCCATATTTTACTATATTAGAAATTAAAAATGTTACCAAATATTTCCTTAGTATTCATTCAGTCAGTGAAGCAGCAACAGGTATTCTAAGTTGAAAGAAAACTCATGTTTTATATGTAAGGCAAAAAAGCTATTTTCCTTTTCACTGAGGAAAAAAAAAATTGCTTAAAACATCTTCCCTGTGTTTGACCTCATAGGTCAAAAAATAAATATATCTATTGCATACTAATTACATCTTCATAAGAATAAATGTTCTAAGAACTTGTAAATCCTTAAATGAACTGTCAACCACACACAATTCAATCACATACCAGCATTTTCTGAAATTCATTTAAAATGAAGAAAAACTTCTTTCAAATGACTGTGTTGCTTCCATTTTGCTTTAGTAGTTTGCCATTATCTGAAATATAAATCAGTTCTATAATATGTTCAAAAATCTTTGATTCCTTAGGCTTAGACATTTCATGAAAAATTCTCACCTTTGAAAATTATTATGAAAGAAATGAAAAAGTAATGGTGGACTGAAACTTATAATTTGTTTCCTTTAAAATATCAGTGTTGTTTATAAAGACCTCACTTTTGTTTGTTTTTAACATATCTATTTAGCACTTGCTTTTTCAGCAGGAACAGTATCACCCCCCAAGAGCATGAACATTGGTTCTTGGGGAGGTAGGTGGAGTAATGTTAAATATTACAATGGTTTGTGGCCCTCTAAAGAGCTACATAACATGGTTATACAGTGTATTTGTGGTGTTAAATTTTAATGGTGGGGACATTAGGAAACAGATGTCTAAAGTGTTTCTTGTGGCGAGGGGAAAACAGTAATAAAAAAAGATTAAGATACAATGATGTAGCATAATTTTGATAAGTGTTGTCAGATGGCAACCACTAAACAAAGGCATTTCTTATTTCTTCTCTACTTTATGTCATATTTGTCTTTTTCATCTTCTGTCTATATGAAACAGCATTAAAGACTTTTAATGAAATAGTATCCTTAATGTTGTCATGTTAATTTCTCACATTTGCATATTATTTATGTTAAATCATAAATGCATGCTATTATTTTTGACTTATGTATGTATAGTTATATATTCATCACTCTATATAGTTTTTAAAATTACTATTTTTAAAAGGTACAGGAAATTCAATTGTAATCGTGGTTCTTTCCTGGTTATACTTCTAGTTCTCTAAAACTTCCTTCCCTGTCTTTGCAGTTCTACATCTCTTGACAGCCTATTAAAGGTTGAGGTCCAAGGGAATTGCATTCTATACCCCCTTCTCTTCTCATATTCTATCTCAGGGTAATCCTATCCATCTTCCAAAGACATTCAAATCTTTAGCTCCAACCCAGAATTCAACCCTACGTTCCATACCCATATTTCCCAGTATATACTGGATAGCTCTACTTAGATATTTCATAGGCATCTCAAAAAAATAAAATCATCACATTTTCTCAAACCTGTTTGTTCCTGTTCAGCTAGACCGCTTTCTTTCCCCTCTGTCACCCTCACAGCCAGGTTCTCTTGACTGCATTAATATTTTCAAAATACCCATCCTCTCCATTCACACCTCTATCCCTTTAGTTTAGGCCTTTATCTCTTAGAAAATCACTCTACATTCCTAAACTTTTCCTTCCTTTCTGTCTACCATCCTCTGAGTCATTCTCCACAGTGGTGTCTGATAAGTCTTTCTAAAGTGTAAATCTGATCAAGTCACTCCCTGTTGTTTATAGCTATGCTGTGCAATACAGTAACCACAAGTCACATAAAACTATTGTACACTCAAAATATACATAATATGAAAAATATGCAAAAATAAATACACAGATAGCTTAGCCTGATAAAAAAATTTAAATATATAATTTTGTATGTATTAATCTAAGTATTTAATAATTTATACTTAATATTTAACAAATTTAAATATTTGAGTTTAAATATTTAATAATTAATATATTTTTACCTCTATCTTTTTAGTTTTATTAATTTGGCTACCAGAAAATTTGAAATTATTTATGTGGCTCACATTTGTGGCCTGCAATATAGATCCACTGGACATTACTAACATATATGATAGCTCCCAAACCCATATCATAGTGTTGTCATCATTCATCATCTGATCACCATGTGCCTTGTCCATTTCATCATCTGTTAGCTTCCATGCCAAGAATGCTGGTCTTGGTGTCAAATGAATCTGGGTTTATGCCTAGAGCCTGAGCTGGGTTCAAACCTGGGCTTTTCTGCATGCCAATGGTATAATCTGGAATAAGATATTTAAACTGTAAATTTCAGTATCCCTGGCTGAAAAATATAGAAATAATGCTTATTTCAGTGTGTTGTTTTGAGGATTAAAATATATAAAGAGAACTAATGCATAATTAGTCCTGGATACAGCCATAGCAAACTACTTACAGTTCCTTTTTGTCTTTCTATTGCAAAGAGCAAGAGGTGTTGCCAATGTGTCTGCAGGCTTAATATTCCTAAAAGTACACAATCTCCTTTTCCTGTTTAGTTACTCAGATTCTACCTTCCTTTTGGTTTTCTCCTTCTCACCAAATATTAGACCTAAGGACCTTTGTATTTCCCGTTATTTTTTCATTCAATTCCTGGACTAGAGAATGCATTTTAAAAGAATAAAGGATTGTATGTAACATTAAAGAAATCTCAAGCTGGGCCTCCCCGGTGGCACAGCGGTTGAGCGCTGGGCTGCTAAGCTGCCCACAGCCTCTGCAGCACTAGTTTGATCCCCAGCCTCAGGTGAAGGTCCCACATGGCATGCAGACTTCTCCTGCCACGCCCGCTGCTCCCCTCAGCAGTGTACTTCATCAGTCTGCCTGTTCTGTTCCCCGCTCTGGCTCTGGTGAATTCTCTCACCCTCCCGCGCTTCCGACTGTACCCAGTGCTTGTATAAATAAATAAATAAATCTTAAAAAAGAAGTGAAAAAAAATAAATCTCAAGCTAAATGAAGAGAATTATCAAAAGGATTTTAGCTTGTGTTATCCCTTAAGTGAATATTGACTACAGTCAATTCTTTAAACAAAGTAGGATTTAAATTTAACCTTGGAATAGTGTCAGAAACAATTTCATCTCCTTTTCTTCTCCCTTTGTCTTCTCTTCATTCTCCTGCCTAAATATGTTCTGTACCCCAGACCCACACATTTACCTGCCACTCAAATTACCACATTGTTAGGGTCCTTTTCATCAACTAGGTCAGTTAGGACACAGGGCCTCAGCTCATTGTGGATTGCTCAGTGTAGTAGAGATTTTCTGGCAATTGACACCTTGAGACAAATGTTCTAACAAATCTTAAAAGTGTTTTTGATGACCACAGCCGTCAAAGATAAGAGTGGGTTGAAATGTTTTCAACGTGTTTCCATTAGGAATTTCCACAAACATCTTTTAAGTACTCTGCTCATGGATTTTTTTTTTTTTTTTTTAATAGAGGCATGTTTATTTATTTATTTATTTATTTGTTTGTTTTGCTTGTTTATACATGCACTGGGTACAGTCAGAAGCGCAGGAGGGTGAGATAATTCACCGAGCCATAGCGGGGAGCAGAGCAGGCAGAAGGACCGAAGTACACCGCTGAGGGGAGCAGCGGGCGGCAGGAGAGGTCTGCACGCCATGTGGGATCCTCCTCTGGTGGCCGGGGAGCAGCCGGGGATCGAACCGGCATCGCAGAGGCCGCGGCAGCTTCGCAACCCAGCGCTCAACCGCTGCGCCACTGGGGGAGCCCAGCTCATGGATTCTTAACAGTTCTTTCCCACAAGAAATTAACACAACAGCTTTCTAAATGGGATGATGAGACTCTGGCTATTGTCTCACAAATGTAAAATGTGGCCTTTTAGACAATGTGATCACCTTTTACTTCTACAGTGTCAGCATTTTGAAATAGGTAAAAGGTATAGGATTGAATGCAAATATGTTTTGCAAATTGTGTCTTGTGAGATAATAGCAGATGATGGTTGAATGCTGAAGGTGTTAATACAATCAGTATTTAACCTTGTGTAACTCGGCTTCATCAATCACGCCCTGTGCATTGATTGCATTAAGCTGGGTCAGTGGTTTCTTGCTTAGGAATATCTTATAAGAATCTTAACAGGAAGGCAGCAGTAGCTGATCAGCTACTGTTTATTTGCATACTGAGCGTGTCATCAATAATACAAAAGACAAGGTCTTTAAGTTGAAAGAACAGTGGGATTGGCATGAATTTTGCTTAATGGTGCGTAATAAGCAAAGCAGTCTGTGGTGCCAGAAAACTGACAGGATCCATTATATTAAAACAGATATATGTCTTTAATTTAGGGGTATTATGTAA